CTAGAAAAGAAGCTGGGGGTGTGGGGGCGTGTGATGATGAGAGACCTTCTGACGGTAAGGAAGGATCCTCAGGAGGGATGGAGAGAGACAGAGAGACAGAGAGAGAGAGGCAGAGACAGAGAGAGAGGCAGAGAGACAGAGACAGAGAGACAGAGAGACAGAGAGAGAGACAGAGAGAGAGAGGCAGAGACAGAGAAAGAGAGAAAGAGAGAGAGAGGCAGAGAGAGAGACATAGAGAGAGAGACAGAGAGAGAGGCAGAGAGAGAGACAGACAGATAGAGAGGGAGAGAGAGAGGCAGAGAGAGAGACAGACAGATAGAGAGGGAGAGAGGCAGAGAGAGAGAGAGAGACAGAGAGAGAGAGAAAGATGCAGAGAATGGTCTAAAGGCCAAGGGGCCCAGGGAGCTGGGGGCAGAAGAACTAAGTGGTGGAGACCCCATTCTGGGCAGTGTGGGGGGCGGGCCTGCTGGCAGAAGCAGAGGCTGTTTCCGTTGCACCCCTTATCAGCCTACTGCCAGATGTTCAGATCCGATGCCAATGTCAGAGAAGTCCATAGTGCTGGGTCAAGGCCATGGCCAGCAGGAGCCTCAGCTGCATCATGGGGAGTGGGGGCTGGGGGCCTTCTCTAGACCTGCTGGCTTTCCCTCCTCCCGTGGCTCACCAGGCTGGACCACCTGGTGAGGGTGGGAAAGACCAGGTGCTTCCAGGGGGCTACTTCTCAGACGGAAAGCCAGGGGCTTGTGGAGGTAGTGTCTGGAGACCGGCAGCATGTAGATGTGTACACTACTGCACACCCCACACACACTAGAGGTAGAATGTGGACACACACACACACACAAAGTGCAGAATCACATGGGGACAACTTGGGGTTCACTTCAGAACTGCCCACCTCAGTACCTCTCTGTGTCCCAACCTGCTGGCTCCATCTCCTGCTCTGCGTAATGCTTAGTGCCCACCCCTCCTTCCCATCCCCCAAACTTGAGCTAAGACTGTAGCCAGAGCTAAAGTGCCTCTTGGTAGCTGGCGCTGTCCCCAACATATGCACTCAGAGGCTGAATGCCCTCCAAGGATGACAGGGCCAAAGGGCCCTGGGACTTTCTAGAATGAAGCCTGGTGGAGCCCCCCGCATGGGCAGGTGCTGGTGCTGGGTGTCTGGTGGGCTGAACTCCCAGCCTTGGGCCTGGGCCTCTCTGCCATGCTCCTGGAGCGTGCAGCGCAGCTGCAGCCCCTTCCTGGGGCAGCTTATCTCAGAGCGCACACGCTTGGCCCTCAAGAGGTGACCCAGCCTTGCTCCCCGCATTCCTCTCCAGTTCTGCAGCCGGTAGGCCCCCCACAGCTCGGAGACTAAGCCTGTGCTTGGGGGGTAGCCAGAGCTGCCACTCAGCGTACCCCTGCTCTCTTGGACCTAGCCCTCGCAGTCATTGTTGGTATCTCTTGGCTTTCTCTGCCCGTCTCCGTCTTGATGAGTCTGTTTATTCCCACGTCTTTCTCCTGGATTGTCCCAATCGGTTTCTCTCTGCTTTCAGGGTTCTAGTATGCTTCTCTGCTTTTTCTCCAGGGTCTTTGAATGAGACCAAATTTGGGGACACCCCTGCTCTTCTGACTCAGTGATCACCCCAATGGGAAAGTTCATGAGAAGTCAGACTGTGGTGAAGGAACCAAAGGCCCGGGAAAGGGGAAGCCTGTCCGAAGCCATGGGGTGACTGGAGCAGGATACATTTAGGCCCTCTTTTGACCACCTAGGAAGTCATCCCCAGTAGCTACACGACCAGGATCCGGTGGGCTCCCCCATGTAGTAGAGAAGGCTGGGGTGGGGGAAGGGAAGGAAGCTGGGGCTGGAGGTCTTGGCCTGAGGACCTCCTTCCTGTTTGTAGGGAAGTGACTGCCTCAGAAAGCTGTTGGGGGAGAGGAGGGAGGCCATGGTGACTTCCGGGAAGCTAGCCAAGAGCCTGAGGCCACCCTCCCTGTGCCCACATGAGGCCCTGCAGTCCTGTCTTAAAATAGTGCAACTCCTCCATTGACGTTGGATCTAGCCTGGATCTCAAAGTGCTGCCGCAATAGTTTGTGCTGCTAATAGGGAGATGTGTGTGTGTGTGTGTGTGTGTGTGTGTGTGTGTGTGTGTGTGTTCCTACCCAGCTACCTGGTCCTAGCTAGACTGTGGCCTAAGGCTATCCTGGCCACAGGGAGAAAATCTAAAGCCTGGGATGCAAGTTTCAGCCAGCTCCTGTACTGAACAGCTTTGAGACCTCTGTCTGGTGCCTGCCTGGCTTTCAGCCAAAATGAGACGGTGATGTGGCCACCGCAGAGCCTTCCGGGCATAAAGTGGATGTTCAGAATTGGGCGGCTCCTGTTGACTGTGCCTCCTCACTGCACTCCGCCATAGCTACACGCTCTTAGGACTGGGTGCAGAGCAGGGAAGGCTTGTGGAGAGGGAGCTTGCAAGGAGGGCAAGGATGGGGCTGTGGTCTCCATGGTGAGACTTGTTGCCAAGGGAACAAAGTCTCCAGGAGCCCTGGGTCTGGCAGTTGGGCACTTTTGCCACAGGAGCTGGCAGGCTGATTGTCACTGCACCCAAATTCCTGATGGACAGCCAGGCCAAGGCCAGGTGGAGCAGAGAGGAGGCTCCGGGCTTTGCTGGGCCTCTGTTGCTGAGGTGGAGGGGGCTGCAACTTCAGCAAACAGCCTCCTTGTATGGATGGACTTCAGTAAGCCACTGTCATTCCTAACCTCCTGAGCCACAGGTACCATCCTCTGCAGATGGACAGGGCAAAGTGGGGACCACAGAGGCATCTTTCTGGGTCAGTGCTAAATACCAATGTGTAGGGGATGAGTTGAGACCCCTTGATGATGCTCATCCTGTCTCATCTCACAGTTGCCAAGGAAGTAAACCTTGGAAAGGACTCCTTGCAGCCAGACCACTCGAATCCCACCACCATCCCCTGCCATCATTTCTGGATGTTTCTGGCTTCACTGATGGAACCTGAAGCATCCAGCTCCTACTGCTGGTTACACAGAAACATGCTTATCTCCAGCTTGGTGAGTCCAGTGGACACACTTCCAATAGGCACTCGGCACTCATTTCTACTCACTCGTGAAAGTTCCCTAGTTAGGTCACCTATACAAACTACCCTCTCTGGGCTTCTTCAGCTATCTTAATTGTAACTTGGGATTACTGGGCTGCTCTGGGGAGTAAGTGACCTCATGGATGTCACTACAGTCTATGTCTGTGTATCACACTGTGGTATACCTGTCCACTCTTCCTTCTTCCTAGACTGTCACCTCCTACACGGGAAGCTCATAGCTTATCACTACTTAAGAAGCCACTTAGGTATTGGGAGAGCACTGTCCTACACTTTATCCCATGGAATGTTGACCCAACAGAACTTTCATGGAAAAATAAGTAAATGATGGACTGGTATTTCTGGTACAACCTGGTTGGGCTAAAAGGTAAGACTTCCTGCAGCCTTGGCTATGCAAAGGGAGCTTGGGAATATGGGAGGAAAATAAAGAGTGGCTTTTCTTCAGTTTCTGGCCACAGACTGGTTTTTTTCTTTCTTTCCTTTTTTTTTTTTTTTACAGAGCCTTCATGAGTGGCTATGTTCACAAAAATCATATAGACTGTTTGTGGTACCCCAGGGCCTTGGGGATATCACTGCTTTTTAGCCCGATTAGGCTTGTATATACAGTTTACAGGATTAATCTTTCATTGGTTTGTTTTTGAACAGAGAAAGGTTCAACCAAAGGCTGTTCGTTCCTAAGCTGTTACAAACCCCATTTGTGCTCAAAACTGCTGAAGGAGCAGGGAGGAAGCTGTTGTAACTTTGGTATCAGATAGACCTGGATTCCAAAGCTAACTCTGCTGCTTGTTCGTGTGTCATCTCAGGCAAAACTTCCCCGAGCCCGTTTGCTTCAGAGAAAGAGGGACGACGGGGTGTGGTGCGGGTTATAGGGTGCAGCTGTCACTAGGCAGCCGGTGCACTCCCTTCTCCTTGTGCCCGTTTCTATGGGCTCCCTCTTGAAGACAGCCTATTACCTCCTCCTTCCGTGGCTCCTTTGTTTCAAATCACCTCTTTCAAGCCTCAAGGGCTCTCTGGTACCTTGTGCTGGGCACGGAGCATAGAAGGCAGCTGGGTGCCCCTGTTTCACGCACAACAATTTAATAGACCGAGGAGACTTCTCTAGCCTTTATCTTGTCATCGAGGAGCCTCCCTCTGTCTTTACAGCATCACCCAGCCTGAGTGTGTGAGAAGGATCACAAGATGGCTGGGCTTTGGGGCTGGTAGATCTGGGCTCTAGACACTGTGTTGCCTCTGGCCATGTCCCTTGACCTCCTCGTCACTATTTGCTCACATCCTACATAAGTTATAAAAAAGAAGTCACCGAGTAGGCCAGGCAGGTCGGCATCATCCAGCACACTGTCTCTGATACAGCTCACACTCAGCAGATGACTTCTCTCCCACTCCCAACTCCGTTCAGCGGTGCTCCAGGGCCCAAGGCGCCCCCAGACTCAACCTCTTGTTAAATTCTCTTGTTTTATGGGATCTTGGAGCATGCTGCAGTGGTGCATAGCTCTCGCTTTGATGACCTTCAGAACCAATCTCATCAGGGAAGGACCCCCCCCCCGCCTTTTTAAAAAGTTTCTTACTACCTGTCCCCATCCCAAGTCCCAGCACTCCTCACAGTACTTTAAAGGTCTATGCATCTCCCACCAGGCTATCCCCTAATTGTGCAAGTCTTTTTACCATTCTCAGCCTCAGTTTTTTCATCTACAGAATGAAAAGGCAATAGCCCTTGAAGCTCCCTGTGGTCTAGATTTATGGAAAAGCAACACAGAGCCCAGCAGACAACAGCCACTGAGACACTAGGGCAGAGCTTTTCTGCCAGGCTCTCTGCAACAGAATACATGGTGCTGGCTATAAGCAGGAGTCCACGCCTCAGGACACTCGGCCATCCCTGCCATCCCTCCCCCAAGCCCCAGATAAGCTTCACAGACAGATGGTATGTGCAGAGGATTCACATTTATTGGTTCAAATACAGTACCTAATGCTCGCTAAACATGCATTTCACACTAATTGGTCACATTTCCACAGGTAGTTAATTCACAGAACAGGGTCCACCCCTTGCCCGCAGGCAAGTGTGGGAGGTAGCAGAGGGCCTGAGCAGCCTGCAGAGCCCGCCAACTATCACTTGGTCATGCAGGGTTGATGGAGCCAGGCTGGCAGGCAGCCCTTGGCCGGCCCTTTGGGAACAAGGGCTCAGAGACATCCTATTCATTCGATTCCTATGTAGGGCCGTGGGAGGACTGGCAGGTAGCCTAAGGTAGGCCCATGATGCACTTGCCATCAAAGCCCCTGAAATCCAAGCTATGGAGCGTAAGAAGGCCTCTTCCAGGGTGGCTTGTCCCTAGCTGGGCAGGTGGAGAGAACTCTCTAGACACTGCCCAGACAGTACAATACAGCCACAAGCCCCTATCACAGGCAACACAGACAATAACACCAACAGTCCAGGGTTTCGTTCCCGACAGAAACATGTAAACACACGGGAGCTATTCTTTTCCCACAGACTCCTCAGAGGGGAATCCATCAGGATGTCAATTAAGAGGTAGTTTTTTTTTTTTAAATCATGGAAATTTGAGTTAAAAACATTATCACCTATTATATTTCAGCTAAGAAAAAGGTCACCAAAGAGCAAGAGAGCCCTTTGGCTGGCAGGGCTGGCTTCAGCGTGTGGAAGACTAACTAGCCTCCACCAGTAGCACATTTTTCTTGGGTTTGGAGCAGGACCTGGCCTTTCCCACCACTTCCATTTAAGCCTACAACTGCTAGCCAAGCAAGCTGGGGTATTTTAGGACTTCCAGCCAAGAAGAGGGCTTGTCCTGGGCAGAAGGGCCAGACCTCCTGTGAGCACCACTGAGGCTCATGGGTAGGATGGTCACAAGTCTTGAGGAAGCCCAGACCTAGCCAAAGAGGCAGCTTGCTTCTAGCTCAGTAGACAGGCTGCTCCCTCTGAGGAAGTAGTCAGGGTTTGGCTCTCAAGTCCAGGAAAGATGTCACTTGTGGTAGCCAAGAGCAGGCTTTCTGGGGACCCTGTAATTAAATACACATCCCTGAGCTGTGGCCCCAGAAGTGCCTGCTTCAACGCTGACCAGTTTCTAGCACCTGGTGGGATGATTGCCATTTTTCATCCTAAGACACAGATAAAACACTACTTCATGGACACTGGGCATGAGGAAAAGGGAGGAGGACCAACGGCAGAGGGGCATGCGGGTATTCCCATGGACCAAGGTGGGGGAGCCAGTTAGTGGGTTTTCTTTCTAAAATTTTAAAAAGCAATAAGGAAAAAAAAATCAAAAGTTTAATATAAGGGCTTGTCTGAACAGCTGAATTTCTTAAAAACTGCCATTAAAGAAAGCAGTAAGGAAAGACCACAAAGAACAGTGTTACAGAGACAGAGCTGCAGAGTGTCTGCTCAGCTGTCTGCTCTACGGGAGGCCAGGGCCCTTTACTTTGGCTAGCCTTGGCCACAACTTAAGGCTGCCTGCGACGGGCAGGGCTAGACAGCTGTTTCAGACTGTGTGGAGTGGCAACTTTGAGAGATGCCTCTATGTTCTCCTACCCCTCCTAGTTCTACCATCAGCCCATCAGGATGGGGCGGTTCATTCCTGCCCACTTCAGCTGTAGGTTGGCCTTGGGGACAAGTGTCCTGAGCCAGGTGGAGTGCTTTGAGATGAGTTGTAGGGAATTTCTCCAAGCTAAGGGTGAGACCACTAAACCTTGCAAAGAACACCAAAGGTCTACAAAGGGAGCCAGAAAACATGAATTACAAATCTCCAAGACTCCAAACTTTTGTCTTGGCTCAAGCAAACACACAAGAAAAGGAAGGGGAAGCCTATATGTTTTTGGCATAATGCAAGGAGATGGATTCGCCTTTTCCACATGGCTTTTGAGCTGTATTTTTTATGGTGGAAAAAAAAAAAACCCTCACTCAAAGTGAGTACTTTTAGTAGCCAGGATCAGAGAGGACAAAAGAGAGGAATGAGAGATAACATGCACAAATTTTTCCTTCTTCCACTAGCAAAAAGGCTGCCTGTTAACCAAACATTATGGGAAAAAAGGCAAAAAACAAGCACACCAAACCTCCCCCTCCAACCTTTCTCTGTGTCCTTCAAACCAAAATCACAAATACATCTAGTGGCTGACCTAATGTCTCCACACTGCCAGCTACACTCCTACCTTCTCCTCATAATACCTGAGTTTGCAATGCAGTACATTCACTTTACCCTGTTTAAAAGAAGCCCATGTCAGAAAAAGACTGGGTACAGAAGACATTAAAGGCGGCCCACAGGTCAGGCTCCAGCTCAGAACACACAGCCACTTGGCTCAGAGATTCTGCAGGGCTCTTGGCAATGAATGGGCTCTTTGTTCTGTGGAATCTGCTGCAAACATTTGTAAAAATGGATTTGTACAATGGCAACTTGCAGAACCTTTCCCCCACTCTACAGATTAACAACTTGCTCTGTTTAATACTACATTATTGGAGAGACATGTTTTTGCCTCATCAGAGCTTTGACAGTCAACACATCAGGTAAAATGTTAATTTGAAAGCAATTTCAAAAACTAACAATTTGACAAATGGAGGTCTAAGCAAAAAAGCTACTGCACACAGGCATTTCTAAGAGGTTGTCTCTGACTTCCAGCTTGAGGAAAGTAGCCGAGACTCTGACCTGGAGCCAAAGAATGTGGTTTGGTTCATTAAATACAAAAATTCATGCAATCAAGGAAAATATTGTGAACTTAGAAACGAACAGACACTTGAACACATACAAATCTTCCCACAACATGTTTGGAAATTTCCTGAGAAACACATCTCTTTTTTTTTTCTTTCTTTCTTTCTCAGAGAGGCTGGGGAACAGACTGAGAAGTAATGCTCTGAACTTTGGACATCAAGGGACATTAGGTGTCACTTTGGTGGTACCTATAGCATTTTACTAGAGAAAAGCTCTAGCGAAGACTACCTAGGATGCACAGGATGTGGTAGCCTCCTGGGTAAGTGAACTAGGCTTCATTGGGGGTACACAGTTCCTGACCAAACAGGCTCAAGGGGATTCTGTGGGTGTGGCATGTCAGCCAAGGGATGCAGCCAGTGACGCATCCATCTGGGGCAATGGCAGTAGTTAGGCATGGTGTGGGCAAAGGAAGTAAAAGCAGCTAAAACAACTCTAAGACAAAGTTGGCGCAGTGCTGGCAAAGCCTGGGGGGCAAGCGCTCTCCCTGGAGTCAGGTGGGGCGGGCAGTGAAGCACATGGATCCAGGCTGCCTGTCTGCAGAGGCAGTAGGAAGTCCTCGGACACGGGAGGTAGTCCAAAGCCTCTCCCCTTCCAGGCACTCTGGCTCCATCCCTCTAGGCCTTGGTAGACCAGATCACTGATGACAGTTGAAGGAAGAGCTGGGCTTCTCTGGATCTTGACTTTCTGTTTAAGAACCCTACCAAACTGATCTCATTTTGGAAATAGGAGAGCTTACAACAAATTTTAGGAGCCAAGTTTCTGGTTCTTTCTACTGTTTAAAAATTTCAGTGTTAGCCAGGTGGTAGCGGCGGCGGCGGTGGCGGGACACACCTATAATACTAGTACTCGGGGGCAGAAGCAGGCAGATCTCTGAGTTTGAGACCAACTTAATCTACAGAGTGAGTGAGTTCCAGGACAGCCAGGGAAACTCTGTCTCAAAAAACAAAAACAAAAACAAAACAAAACAAAACAAACAAAAAAAAAACAAACCAAACCACCACCACCAAAAAAAAAAAAGAAGTTTTGGATTTGGTTCTGAGGATAACTTGGGGTGAAACAGGGGCTTCTAAAGGAGTCTATTCTGTCAGCAGCCTGGCCTTTGTCCCTCTATTCTTTGAGTGAAACAAGTGAAAGGAAAATAAATCAGAAACGGTATCAGAATTCAAAACAGGGTGTTTTCCTGTCACATTTCTAGAGGACAAGGAGTCAAATTCACAGGAGAGAGGGATGGAGTCTGAAGCAGGAAGCCTTGGAAGATCTGGATCAGGGAACTAGGCAGCCCTGAGCCCCCAGGAAGCTGGGAAGCAAGTCCCACACACTGATTTACTGTCAGGACTCTGCTAGGATGAAAACTTGACAGCGGCATTCAACAAACAACAGTGTGTGGGGTGTGGGGTGCAGCAGAAGTGAGGAGCACACATCTCTGCCCTTTGGGTTTGTGGGATGAGGTGATGGTTAGTCTTCTCAAACATGGAAGATTAAAATGAAAATTGCCTCACCTGTCCCACCTGCCTTCAGTGCATCTCCCTACACCATATTGATCATTTGGCATACTCTTTTACTTAGCAAGTCTGAGGCGATAAAAAGGCAGTGTGTTTTCCATCAGACAAGTGTACTCTGCTGAGAAATTGTGGAAAAGGTGGGATGGTCATATCCCCGTTTCCATTGAGGTAGTTGTCTTTGTCAATATTATGGAAATAGTCGTGTAGTCCATCCCACCCTCTCCCTCAAAATACAAAAGAACTATCTCTAAACAATGACAACACAGCAACATTAAACATCTTCACATTCTGTAAACTGCAAGGAAATGCATCTGCTGCATTCACACAAAAGCATGTGCATCATGTTGAAGGCCATACATTCAACTCTGTCGTGAAATAAATATATAGAAAAATGAGGTTAAAAACAGACAAACACACAAATTCTTCTCGTGATGGAGGTAGCTGCCCCACAGTCTCCATCTTGGTCTCTCTGGCTCTCTCCTCTGGAGCTTGTCCTGCCCACCCAAGGCACTGCCGGCACCCGAGGCAGTGCAGGGACAGGTCACTCCTTCACTACGCTTGTCTTGCAGGAATGCAGCACCACCTTAAAGAGGAGGGGCAGCTGCTCCAGCGGCACATTCACCATCTTTCCTAGGTAAAGGGAAGAAAGGACATTAGCAGCAGCTACTAGGTAAGGAAAGCCCGTCTTGTCTCTTGCCAGGCTGCTGGATCTCCTTGGTGTAGAATAAGTGCAAGACAAGTATCAAGAGTACCACAAAGGTCACAGGGGTTAGATGATGTCAAGGTGTCTAGGCACACTCTTCCATCTGCTACATACTGACTGTGTACAGCCAGCTCAAAGCACTGTCTCATTTGGACTCACAATGTTTTTGTGATTGCGTTTTACCCCATTTTACAGCTGAGCACCTGAAATGGAGAGGAGTTTTACTGAGCTCTTTGTAGCTAAAATACTATAGGAAACTTGCTTCCTACAAACTCATTAGCATTCTATAAAACTCTGCTCTTCAAAACAGAATAACTAATTAACGAAAGTACTAGGCAAGTAAGGAGAAGAGTTGCAGGGGCAAATACAATTGAAATGTCTGGAGATAAAAAGAGTTGGACAGGTTTTTGGTTTTTTTTTTTCCTCTGATGACTACTCAGAGCATTAAGCACACAAATAGTGTAAGCAAAACATCTAAGGCTGCTGTAGTTCTCCCTGACAGTACCTTAGAGTTACCTGGAGGGCACTGAAAAATACTGATACCTGGGCTTCTCCCCATACCAATGAAGTTGGAATGTCTGGAGATGCAAAAAAGAATAAAAAAAAAAATCTTTCCAGGTGACTGGAAACACTGCCAGGTTTAGCTTTTGTTAGATTGCTCTGTGGCTCAAGAATAGAGAATAAAAAATCTGTCAGACTGACATGTTTGTTGTGGGATATTTGCATACTGTGTGAAGATATAATGTTGTGATTGGTTTAATAAAGAGCTGAATGGCCAATAGGTAGGCAGGAAGTATAGGTGGGACTTCGGGGCAGAGAGAGGAAGTAGGGGGAGGTAATCAAGGTGCAGGGGAGATGCCAACAAGACATGGAAGGAATCGGATACACAAAATGAAAGAAAGGGCCATTATTTAGGGCCAGTGGGAGAAAATCCCATTACTTGTTTTCCTTCAAAAATTGTATTACTGAATTTTACAGAAAAAAATCCCAGTCTAACATCATCACCCTAGTGGGTGTTGGACACTGAAAACAGGGATCCTAACTATTCTGAAGTAAAATGACAACAAAGGTTATGTACTGAAGTAGACCTACTAACTGTCAGGAGCTTAGCAGGGGGCTCAAGACACAAACAAAATTCCTTTGCAAACATAGAAGCTTAAAGGTACCACTTTACATGGCCCTGGAGAGAGTATGTGTAATTCTAGGAAACAAAGTTTTTAAAAAGTAATATATAATTTGCATATAAAATTCATGATCTTAAGCCGGCGTTGGTGGCACAAGCCTTTAATCCCAGCACTAGGGAGGCAGAGGCAGGCGGATCTCTGTGAGTTCGAGGCCAGCCTGGTCTACAAGAGCTAGTTCCAGGACAGTCTCCAAAACAATACAGAGAAACCCTGTCTTGAAAAGCAAAAACAAAAACAAAAAACAAAAAGAAATTCATTATCTTAAAGCATACAGCTCAGGACATGAAGCGGAGACACTGAGCTTGCTTTCCTCATCCTCAGTATCTCTTTTCTAAAAGGAAACACAACTTTCTTATTCGAGGGTTAGAGTAGCAACTCCTTCTGCAACTGGTGATGGGCCTGGAATGAACGTCCTTTGAACCATGCTCATCTCAACCCTTTCACAAGCTGGAAGAAGCAAGGAAGGGTTGGAAGCCTGGACCCAGAATATTACCTGCAATGTATCGGATCTCTGGCAAGCACATCATAAGATCAGGAAAGCGGTTTGGCTGATGTGTGTATTTATATTCAGTGAAATCCTGACAAATGTACCAATACCGCTTATTCAGCTGTTCCAGCTGTGAGGCACTGGCCAGACCCCTGATATCTGTGAAAACAAAACAAAACAAAACAAAACAAAAATCACACAGGGAACGGGCTGGTAAACACCAGTTTTTGTTTCTTAATTGAGAAAAAAATTTTTTTTGGTTTTTACGAGACAGGGTTTCTCTGTATTGTTTTGGAGGCTGTCAGTCCAGCCTGGCCTCGAACTCACAGAGATCCGCCTGCCTCTGCCTCCCGAGTGCTGGGATTAAAGGCATGCGCCACCACCGCCCGGCTTTCAATTGAGAAATTATTAAACATGGTCATAACAGAGATCTCTTCTCCTTCTGATGTGGATAAGGTAAACAAAAAATAGAAAAGAAGAAATGCAGGCAAATGACAGTCCTTTGCCTGAGCCCTAAGTGCTAAGCTGGGTATCTTAACTCCATACCAAGTTTTAACACGGGTGTGGAGGCACAGAACAGGCACCAGTAAGTGCGGAACAACACTGCATAGTGTCTTTGAAGTGGAGGCTATCAGAGACAATGGTGACATCTACAAAGTCAGAAACCTGACATGTACCATCTCCAGTTTCTCTGTGTTCTTGCTATTCTATCTTGATTGTATGACTCTATCTAAAATACAGGAGATGAGGGGCTGGAGAAATGACTTAGAGGTTCAGAGAACTCACTGATCTTACAGAGGTTGTGAGTTCAATTCCCAGCAACCACACAGTGGCTCACAACCATCTGTAATGAGATCCAGTGCTTTCTCCTAGTCTGCAGGCACATAGAACATTGTAAACATAATAAATAAATCTTAAGGGCTGGAGAGATGTTTCAGCCATTAAAGGCTAGGCTCACAACTAAAAATATAAATAAATATTTTAAAAAAATCTATAAAAAAAAGTACAGGAGTCCCAGCACTCAGCAGGCAGAGGCAGGAGGATCTCTGTGAGTTCGAGGTCAGTCTGGTCTACAGAGCAAGTTCCAGGACAGTCTCCAAAACAATACAGAGAAACCCTGTCTTGGAGAAAACAAAAACAAAAACAAAAACTACAGGAGATGAATATTGTATGTACATCATACCCAGTTATTGAGGTCCAGCACATCTCTCTTCTCCTCTAAGAAGTTGCTACTCACCTTCCCCACGTGCAGTACAATTCATGTATTGAGTGCTATTGGAGTGCACACTCTTTAGGGACCTGGGCACTGGTGTTTTTTCCCTCCTCCCCTACAACTCTGCGTCTTTCATACAGGGCTTGGCTAGAGAAAGCATGTAGGTCACCTGATAAATGCATGATGTTACAGGGACAGGAGTAGGTTACCCAGCACTGGAGGGTGGAGTGGGGAGTAGTGGCAAAAAGGAAAGCCTGGTCAGGAGTCTCTGGACTGGAAAGCTGAGCACAGTGAGACAGCACTTTCAAAATCACTCAGGCCTACTCTTGAAAATGGGACATTGCAATGCTACTTTTGATAAAAACAAAACAAAAAACAATTTTCCGTCACAGACCAATATCAGCAACTACCAATTGCCCTCTTATTGGTGACATGCCTATAAACCAACTGGACTCTTCAAATGGAAGAGGAGACACGTGCACCACCACTCTTGTCTGGAGCATCAGAGTCACTGCTGGCCTGTCAACCAAGGCCTTATCTCCAACAGTTTCATCAGTCACACTGCTCTTCTTTAGTTGCTGGTAAACGTGGTACATATTTTAAATGACGCATGTTCTGTCCTTGGTGTCTCTGTTTAAATGCATTAAAACTGACTAAACAAAGCGAATCCTCTTCCTTCCTCTGTGAGTTATAGAGATTGTGGCATTTAGATTTCAAGAGAAAAATCCAAAGCACTCCTTACACTGTAGAGGAGCAGGGTGATGACTCCCCCTAGTCATCCCTCCTCCTGTGTAGGCCTTCCAAGACTAATGGTCACATGGTGTAACAGATTCTGTGACAGTCCTGGATATGGGAGGGATTGTGTGTGACACAGAAGGGCAAATGCTTACTGACAGAAAGAAACACATAAGACAAACTACTGCCCTCAGCTCGCCCCCTACTTACCTTGATTCAGGAAGTTAATTGCTTTCATGCATGCATACTCCTCATTGCTGACTTTTAGCTGATGGAACTTATGATATAGGTAGATAAGTCGTTCAATCACCTCCATTCCTTCATCACTAAATCTGGAGAACAGAGACAGGCTTTTACCTGGGGTACCAACAGCAACAAAGGCCAGGAAGGGCAGACAGAGACTATCTATGGCGGGAAAGAAATTCCACTTTGGTGAAATGGAACCCACAAGGAAATCCATGCTCTGTTTGGTAGCCAGTGTAGATTATGCAAGTTGCTGTTTCCAGAGTCAGGCAGAGTCAAGTAAAACCAGGTTCAAATCCAACTGCACCACACACAGCTGTGAAAATCTAGGAAGGTTATTTGATCCCTGTAAGCTCTGAGATCCCCTTCTGCAAAATGTTTGCCTGCTTATGCTAAGAGTGAAAGGATATCTGGGATAGAAACCAAGAAAAATGTGACAATAGTAAGATACAGCTTTTAAAAGAAAAAAAAGCCATAGCTTTTGTGGAGATGCAGCCTGCAGTATCAATGACAGCTGCCACTATGAGACCTTAGCCACAGTGTGGAAAACACTTCCAGTTATATTTCTTTAGGTTCACTGCTTCTAGTAAATAAAATAATTTTGCTCGCATCCCTGGCTTCAGTTCAAAGGGGAAGAAAACACTTGCTTAGTCTTTATATCACAAGAGCCTTTGTGCTGTTCATTCTCAACCCCATGGGCTAGGTAACAATCACTATCAACAGAAGATGAGAAACTAAATCCAACATGGAGAGAGGACTGCTCCACCAACACAGAGCTGGATGTGGTGGGATGAGAACCCAGAGCCTGGACTAGCCTCCTGAAGCTTTTTCAGAGTCTAAGGTAGTCTGCTATGCAGAGCAGACAGGCTTCTTGAACTATTTATATGTTAACTTGTTTTCACCTGATGAATTCTTACATGATCCCAGGTATATAGGTAATAAAATAGGCATACAAATCTAACACTAATAACAAACCAGTGAAATCATCTTATTTGTACTCATTTTGTGTGTTGGTGTATGTGGCATGTGTGTGCATGTGTGTCCATAAGAAAGCAGAGGCTGACCCACGGTGTCTTTCACTATTGTTCCCCACCTTATCTTTGGGGATAACCATCTCTAATTGAATTTGAACCTCACTAAGCTGGCTAGACGGGCTTGCCAGCAAGCTCTGGAGATCTGCCTGTCTCTGTTCCCTTCAGCGCTGCAGTTATAGACATTCCCAGTGCTAAGTTACTTGTCCAGTCCCAGTAAATTTACTTTAAGACAACTCTTCAGCATGTAACTTTACTATTTACTAAAAATAAAATCATGCTTGTTATTTTTACATGAAGGGCTAAATTACATCCAAGTATTTGACACTGCAGGACACACAGCACAGTTTTTCAGAGTTAATTTTTTTTTGAGACAGTCTCACCATACATATCATAACTGGCCTAGAACTCACTACATAAAACATGCTGATCTCAAGCTCAAAGATCTGATCATCTCTGCCTCCTGAGAGCAGGATTAAATGAATGTTCTTTCACATCTGGCTTAATTGATATTGTGATCATGGTTTAATATGAAATGGCAGAAGTAGATTTAAATTCATTTCAGAAATTGTTGAAAATTCTATCCTAATCCCAAGACAAATTCATTTAACAATTTTTCAAAATTAAATTCAAGGCAGAAACCCAAACAACTTTTTTTCTTTTGAAACAGGGTCTCATGTTGACCAAGCTCACTTTGAGATAGCCTTCAACTTGCGATTCTTTTGAATCTATCTCCCTAATGCTGAAGTTTCAAGACGTGTACCACAACACCTGGCTAAAATAAAATGACAGAATCTGAAAATATGTAATTTGACACTTGAAATGAGGAATGATGACAGGATGGCACCCAAAGTCTTTGTTTCCCATAAGTAAGCCATCATGTGTATAGAGGAGCAAAAACTGCAGTGACACTGGGCCTGGGCTAAGGCAGCTCAGGCATGTGTGTGCGGCATTGCACGAGCAATGCCAACTAGCGCTCAGAGCGCAGTGCAGAGAAGCGCTCGTCACCACGGCCAAGGAGACACTGGCCGCATGGTGGTTTGATTGTGAACTAAAGTTCACTTGTTGGAGGTTGAGAACTCTTTTAGGACTGCCGCTTGTTCTGCGCCTTCATACACAACTCAACATGAATTTGCCTATTAGTCAGTCTGGGAAAGCATTAATAAAGTCATTAAAGTCATTGGGCTAGAACAACGAGGAACTTGAATTAGCCGTTACAGTTCACAGCAAACTGACGCGCTCCTTGCTGTGCTGTTGAGTTTGTCTTAGGTTTACTAACCATTCTACCCATGTTGAGTGCTGGACACTTTTAGTATTGTATATATATAGCCTTATCCCCCCAATTAAAAAAAAAGTATATTAACCAAAATCTCCTTTGTTGGTATGTGTGTCACTGACTGCTCCTGACACAAAGGGCTCTTTGGTATTCTGACTTTCCTGACAACTCGTTAGGAAATAACTGTATTAAGATGAGGAAGCAGAAAAAGGTGACTCTCTCAAAGTTACATAGTAATAAAGAGGCGGGGCTTTTAAATCCCCACCACAGGGGCTTTCCCAGGACTGTACTACCTACCCCAATCCTGTCAAGTTCTTAAGTGCTACCTGGGAACGGCTGCTGCCACATGCTATCCTGTGAGCCTTAAGGAGCTTTGGATTCCCACAGCAGCTCATCCTAGGGCCTGGTCCAGGAGCTGGGTACTTGTGTGCCGCTTGCATGATGAGTCTTGCAGGTTAAGACCACTCCTCATGCCAGGCAGTGGTGGCGAACACCTTTAATCCCAGCACTCGGGAGGCAGAGGCAGGCGGATCTCTGTGAGTTCGAGGCCTGGCTGGACTGACAGCCTCCAAAACAATACAGAGAAACCCTGTCTCGTAAAAACCAAAAAAAAAAAAAAAGACCACTCCTCACAAGGACTTGCTGGCTACTTAAGCTGCTGAGAGAGAAAAGGGCTCCGATTCCCTGTGGTGTCTGCATGGAGGAGTAGGGTGGGGATAAGCTGCGGGGACATAACGAAGAGGGCAGGGAGGATGGTGAGTACATCTGTCTGGTGGTCAAGCACAAACGACGCTCTGTCCCTTAATCAGCAACTCCTTGCCCCAGAGCTCACTGTGGCACAGCAGGACCTGCAGGTGTGTGGCTATCATCCAGACCCTGAGCTGGCAGCGCCAAATCTGTTCCTGGCTGTCTTGACCTGGGGACACAAAGGAACTCTCAAGTGCTTGGGCCTGAACATATGTCCTAGCTCTGCCCTTTTTCTTGGGGAAAGCACACCCCGTCTCCAAGTATCTTATAAGAAGCAGCCATCACAGTCCCTTGGCAGTGGTCCCCACTCAGTCTCCACAGCTTGGCTGCAAAGCTTTCCTCTACACCCGCATCCCACCCTTTGACAAACAAAGCTGCTCTCTGTTCTACAGGTCTGCTTTCTCCTCCAGCCGTTCCTCCTCCACATCTGCCCACTCCACAGTTCTGATGCCCCTGTATTCCCTGTCTACAAATTATCAGCATTCAAAGCCATAAAGTTGGACAAACATACCCATTCTTCTCTTAGGTTCCTATCGCACAAGCACGCTAGGACAAGGAAAACATTCCTGCCAGGATCCCCTAAACCATTGGACCATTCAGTCAGTAATTGAAGCTGACACTCTATAAGTTATATGCTAGCAAGGGGCAGAGAGGAACAGCTCTCTCCCATTCATCTAAATGTACCTTCAGCAGCAGCCATCAAGTACACTCTTTATGGAACTGTCACCATCGCATCCACATCTAAGTCAGATTACAGCTCCAGCACACATTCTAGAAAGTCACTCCTTTCTAAGAATCTGGGACTAGGGTAATGGTAGAGAGCTCTGGCTTTGGAGCACAACAGATCTGCATAGGAATCTTAGCTCCATCTTTTCCTATCTTTGTAGGCCTGCATTTTCATCTTGCTGAAACTCAAGGTCCTTATATCTGAGTCTCATAGGATGGCAGCAAGGACTCAACAGTAATTTAAGTAAAACAATGATAAAACTTGGTGCAACACATCCTGTTGACAACTATACATTCACAGTAATAGGGAGCAAGAAGACTGTTTCCTGAGCCTGAGAACTAGTCAAGTGCCCATTAAAGTTCACCTAACTCAAAGCATCTTCTCCAGGGAGTCAAGAGCTGGGAGCAGGCCCCGACTGGTGCTACAATCTGCTTTAAATCACGTTTGTCCACCTCTGTGTCTGATAACAGTCTGACGAGGAGTAGGCACCATAAACTTGATTCAGTATTGAGAAGAGAAAAGGAGCTGGTCGTGCATCATCCAGGAAGCCTTTTTCTGACAGCAGGCACTCACACTCAGAAGCTGTGAAGAAGCAGAGGCTGCCTGGGGGAGTGGGAGTATACAGCAAAGTAAGAAAGAGCTATGGCCAATTAGACACTACACCCTAGGCTTCTAGCAGAGAGGGATGCTTGGCAGTGATTAAGCCTAACTCCAGAGGCTTAGCTTCCAGACCTATGACCACAGAGACACCAAGACAAATACAGAGTATCTTATCTCCCATACGCTCTTCCTTGATGCTTTATCTTAGCTAAAATGACCTGTGCCCACCTGCCCAGCAACTACCCACAGCTTTCCTTATTCAGTAGCTCTGCTGACTCCATGTCCTTGACACCACTAGCTTGGTGTGGCCCTCTCTTCCTGTAACCCTGCTGTCATCCAGGCCTTCTTTTCCTTCCCACGGACACAGAGCAGCCTGTTCAACCGTGCTCTAGTCTTGACCACACCAAACAGTCACAGAACGCTTTCTCAAATGTTACTCATCCAAGTAATTTCCTGTGATGTACTGCTACCAAGACAATAGTCTCTTTTCTCTGGTTTTTGTTTTGTTTGTTTTGTTTTGTTTTGATTTTAGGCAGGGTCTCACTGTGTATGCCAGGCTATATAGGAACTTGCTCTATAAACCAGGCTAGCCCAGAATTTAAGAGATTATCCTGCCTCTGCCCAGTTCTGGGATTAAAGGTGTGCACCACCATACCCAGCTCTTCTAGGGTCTCTCTGTGTAGCCCTAAAATTTGCTCTGTAGACCAGGCTGACTTCTCCTGCCTTCATCTTGCTCTCTATACTGTACTAAGAAAATTCACACTTCACAATGGAGCTCAAATGTCTGTTCTTGTGGTAAGCCAAGTACGCAAGTACAGCCCTCATTTTTAAGTCTGGTTTGAATAGTCCTTCCATCCTCACTCTTCAATCTCCTTCAATCACCTTACATTATAGATTGTATCTGTTACTATAAAATGAGAATCGAGACTCTCAGCGTCAGAAACCTTGTCTAAACTGGGTGTAGTGGTACAGAGCTATTACTGAAGCTACTCAGAAGACCAAAGCATGAGGATTCTAAGTTTGAGGCTTGTCTGGGAAACTTAGTGAGATCTTATGTCAAAATAAGTGAAAAATGGTTAGGGATGTTATATTCTTTCTGTTTTTGTTTGTTTTTTAAGACAGGGTTTCTTTGTGTAGCCTTGGCTGTCCTCAAACTCACAGTGATCCACCTGCCTCTGCCTCCTGAGTGCTGGGATTAAAGGCGAGCGCCATCACCACCCTTGGGATGTTAATTTAATGGTAGAGTACTTACGCAGCATGTGAGGCCTTGGGTTTAAATCTCTGGAACCAGAAAGGAAGGGAGGAGGAAGGGAAGGAAAAAGGAATGAAAGACAGAAACCTTATCTGCATGATTTGTATACCCAGAATCCTTGCCCCCAACAACTCCTAACATATTCAGTGCCTACAGAGGGCCCAGAAGAATCTTCCATGCTGTAGGGAGTGGAAACTAGAGGCTGATTCCACTGTGTAACAGGTAGTCCATCCCAGGAAGAACTTGTAGTTCCCAGAAAAAGGGAGGATATGCTCCCTGAGATCAAGTCTACAAACCAAGAACATCACAGCAAGCTTACTGCTATCCAAACAACTCTTCGATCCAGTTATAAACCAGAAACAAAAATTTGGTGGAAACAATGAATTAGAGACTATAGACAAGGGGTTAGGTCATCTGTAAAATTAGATAGCTCTGTCTATAGGCAGGTGCACCCTGAGGCCAGTAAGCAAGGAAATGCTAGAAAAGCAAAAGAGTGAGCTAATTCCCAGACTCTCACTCAGCTGTGCACAAGCTGCTGAAGGTCTTGAAGCTTTGCTCCTGCTGCAATGTTGGCCTTGTTTTTATTTAATGCACAGGATGGTGAAACTGATGCACCCCAGTCCTTCCAAGAGAACTATGGGAATTAGAACTATCTCTTCCATACCTCATTTATCCTTGTCATGGGTAACTTTAAATTGTATGACTTCTACTATTTAAACTGTCCAAAAAAGGTGGTTTATTGAAATGTCTATTTAAATGTGAATTAAGCTATATAAGACATTTCATATGAATAAATTCATAAACCAGAAAAGTTATTGAAACAGATAACTGTCTTAATTTGGGAGTCAGAAATTAAGGGTCCCATTTTTCCTAGGTCTTCAAAGAAAGTGACTAAAACAGTGTGTGGACAGTCATGGAAGCAGCTGGGGGGGAAAAGGGCTGTTGTAGAGAAGATTAGAGGATGCTGGTTAGCCAGAAGGGAACCTGATAGCAGAGAATAACCAGGAGACCTGCTCTTAACATCTCATCCCACCTCAGGTACACAAGAGATTAAGCAGTCAAGTAGAGCACAGGGGTAGAGATGGGAAGCTGTGAGACAAGTTCAAGACTAGGTTCTAGATTAAAATCCAAACCCTTAAGGACCAGGCTCTCTGAATGTCAACTTTCTCATCAATAAACAAACACAATGGTGCCTATGCTACCGTACGTTATAAGAAAGAGTCAGTGGCCGGGCAGTGGTGGCGCATGCCTTTAATCCCAGCACTCAGGAGCAGAGGCAGGCGGATCTCTGTGAGTTCGAGGCCAGGCTGGAACAATACAGAGAAACCCTGTCTCGTAAAAAACAAAAAACAAAACAAAACAAAACAAAAGACAAAAAAAAAAAAAACCAAAACAGAAAAACCCAAAGAGTCAGTAATATAAAGGTGCCTACAAACAATAGCAAGATGACTTCCAAGTCCAGAGTCCCTTCCCTTAGGGGTAGGTAGAGTTTAGATTTTTGTTTTTCCCAGATATATCATCCCACTAATGTAGACATAACATTGAAGCAACAGCTTACCACTCTGCCAATCTGACTGTATGACACTTACTCACCATCCCTGCCTTGTTGGAGAGGTGCCTACTCTATCCACTCAGAACCAATAACAAAAAGCTAGTAAGTGACAGAGTCTAGGTAGCTTTGCCTCACAGGAGGACAATGGCTTGGGTGCTCAGGATGTCCTCCCCAGTTAGCAGCTCTCACCTGTGTAGTTCTTCATCAGAGGGTGAGTACTTGGCAGTGACATCAGCCAGCTCCCCAAAGATCTGCTTGCTATAAACTGTGAGGGATGAGAGCAGGATCAACTCCTGCCATGTAGAGCTCAAGAGGCACGTGTAGTCCTTGATTGAGAGCTCGCAGAAGAAAGGCAGCTTCTTGATCCAGGCGATCTGTCTAAAGAGCAACTCGTCGGCCAGGCGGCAAAGCAGAGCAAATAGCTCTGCTTGTGTCACAGCATATCTGGAGGAAGGGACAGGACAGAGTCACTTCCATCAGCAAAGGAGTGGGGGGAGCAAAGGAGGAGGGTATTCCCCCAGGGCACATTATGTCCTTAGCAGCAGACCCCTTGCCCTTGACCATGGACTTCCAGTTTTACTCCACTTCTTATAAAGGGGAGCGATGGGGTAAGCAAAAAGCTGGGGTGGGGGTAGTGGGCACTGAAGTGAGATGGTTTGCTGAGAAGAGGGTGCTGAGGGGAATGGAGATTTAAAAACTTCTGTAATTATGAGGGAATATCACTCTTAATGTTGGTGTTCTCTGATGTTTCATGTCTTAGAAGAAATTCTTACTCATTCCTGCTCTAGTTTTGGTAGTGAAAACTCTAATGGGGTGGGTCTAGAGCATACCCAGTTTAAAGAACAACAATCACACATGAAAGAAAACAAAACCAAAACCCAAAGCCAAACATGCTCAAGAGTCAGACTGCTGAAATAAACAGTTTTCTTCAGCCTTTCCTGTCCTCATTGTGCCCCCTAGTGGTGACAGCTCTAGCCCATGGGGGCCTCTGAGTCTCAGTTTTATTCCTTTCAAGATCCCTAATTTCCTTGTTATCCTCTTTATTATTATTATTATTATTATTATTATTATTATTATTTTGGTTTTTCAAGACAGGGTTTCTCTGTATTGTTTTGGAGGCTGTCCTGAAACTCGCTCTGTAGACCAGGCTGGCCTCGAACTCACAGAGATCCACCTGCCTCTGCCTCCCGAGTGCTGGGATTAAAGGCCTGCGCCACCAACGCCCGGCACTTGCACCCTCTTTTTCATGCCCTCCATAAAAGCTTTGTGGGATCCTTTCTGTATGTATTTAAGTCTACTCTTCTGAAACTCCATCCTAGCTGAGAACCTCAGAGTACCCTCTAGGAGGCCTAAGATTAAAGACTTTATTTAGCAATCCATGTTCTCTACCTATAAAGTAATGCGTGCAAGAATGGGTGGCCCACATGCTGAACTATGTAACACTCAGATAGAGTCAAATGCAGACTGTGGTATCTCTTTCAGACATTTAGGCCTGTAACAAAAGCTGCCAGTCACATGCCATGGATTACTCATGGGCATGTTAGCTAGGGATACAGACAGGTCACAACCAATTAGGACTGCACGCCTTTAATCCCAGCATTCAGGAGGCAGAGGCAGACAAGATTTCAAATGAGCCAGCCTGGTCTACAAATTAAGTTCCAGAGCAGCCAGAGCTGTTACACAGAGAAACTCTGTCTTGAGAAACAAAACAACAACAACAAAACAACCAATTAGGGCTTGAATGATTTAAAAACCTTAGGCCTGATATAGAGCTTATTTCTGGCACAAAGGCAACCATTTCAGGGCTTGGTTTACCTAGACCCACAAAGAAATGAAGGCCCTTCAATCCCCATTTCTTAGAGATTGAAAAAGTAACCTGAACTCTGAGAAAAGATGCTTAAGGAAACATTGATGGACCAATGCCTTCATTGACAAAGCTAGGTATACAACTGGAGCATTGTAGGGACATTTTGAGACTGCAAGGAGGCCAAGCAGGACAGAGTTCACTCACCCATCTTCAATCAGCATGGGTGTGCCCAATGGCTCCAGGTCTTCTGCTGACATCAGCTGGTGAATTAGGCTGTAGGACTGAGGGTCCAGGCTTCGAGCTTGTGGGTGCAGAAGCGGTGAGTGTCCAGAATAGCTAAAAAGGTGTGGTATGTACTGATAATGTGGAGGCACTGACATCCCCATGTACTGATCTCTCAATGTCACGAATCCATTTAGTTCCACAGATCTATTGGAGAGAAAAACTTCACATCAGGAAAAAAGTCATAGTAGTTAAGTTAAGCACCTGCTCAAAGGAGTAAGTCAGGAGATGGCTGAGGTGCTCTCTGGTCATGAAGTCTGTGACTAATCAAGCCATGGGACAAAATTAATGGTTTCATGCATTATCTACCTTATTACATTCCATCCGTGAGACAAGGACTCTGTGTGGGTATGGGAACATGGGGCTCAACGCTGAAAACTCAGTGACCAGCAGAATAGGGGAGATAAATAAATATGGATTGGATGAAGTTTTGTACTGATGTTACAACTAGCACCTCGCTCATATCAGTCAGGTGTTTTGTCACTGTGCCATATCCTAGTGCTCTTCTATCTTCTAACATTATATTTGGAGACCCTGTCTCCAGTGCTAGTTGCCAGGGTTAACTCTGAATTCACTCTGTAGCCCTGGCAGGTCTTAAAGTTATGAGCCTCCTGCCTCAACCTCGTAGGTAGTTGGGATAGTAGGTCTTCACCACCAAGCCTAGCTTGGAAGAGTTTTTAACGTATACCAGTAGTCTATTGTGACAAAAAAGTGTGTTTATATTATGGCTTTACTGTTATGAAAACAAAGGTACAGGACAGGCTAAGTTGACTTAGTCCAAAAACCAAATCTATGGCCGGGCGTTGGTGGCACACACCTTTAATCCCAGCAATCGGGAGGCAGAGGCAGGTGGATCTCTGTGAGTTCGAGGCCAGCCTGGTCTACACAGCGAGTTCCAGGACAGCCTCCAAAACAATACAGAGAAATCCTGTCTCCAAAAAACAAAACAAAAAACAAACAAACAAAAAACCCAAATCTACTACCTAGCATGGAATATAGCTAGAGGTCCTTAAGTCCCTAACTACTAAAAAGCAAGAACAAGGGAAAAACTGAAGGAATAAAAAGCTCTAACTGAATCTGAAGAGGAAGGCAGATTCCTCCCTGGTTCCTCTTTTTTGGAAAAGTCTAACCATTTTCTCAATTAACTATAAAAAGCAGATATCTATGTATTTGTAAGAGTTTATGAGTGAGTGAATTTCACAGTGAATGTGTAGAAGTGAGAGGAAAACTATTGGGATTTACCTTCTTTCACTTTGTGGATCCTGGGTTGTCTGAGTCGGGCTTGGCAGCAGGTGCCTTTACTTGATGAACCATCTCACCAGCCCATCATTTAGTTTTTTCTAGATATATCTGCTATAACTGAGTATGGCAAACTATACCCTATAGGCCAGATCTAGCCTAGGACCTATTCTTGGTAAATTAAGATTTATTAGAAGAGGCACTAAGGCAGAGCTGGGGAGCTGGGTCCTAGGTCAGGCTTAACAAGTTTAAACAGTTACTATATAACCTTTTACATTTTTGTTCCTTTATTGGAGACAGGTTCTGGAATGACCGTTACTCAAAAGAGAATTTCTTTATCATTTGCATGTGTGTATAGGCTTGAGGTTGACACCCATCAAGTGTCTTTCTCAATGGCTTTCCGCCTTATGCTTTTGAGATAGGTTATCTAACAGGACCTGGGCCACACCAATTCAGCTAAATTATCTGGCCAGTAAGCCCCAGTGGCCAGTCTTCCTAGTGCTAAGAGGAGACAAAGTCTATATATTCCTCACTGCATATGGCAGTGGGTGTTGGGGATCGAACCTAGGGCTCATGATTGCAGAGCAAGCACTTTACTGACTGAGTTATCTAAACAGGCCCCTACTCTGTGACATTATATTTTTTATTTATTTTATTCTTTTAAAGATTTATTTATGTATGAGTGTTCTGTCTGCATGTTTGTCTATACATCAGAAGAAGTCATCAGATCCTATTACAAATGACTGTGAGCTACTATATGGGTGCTGAGAAATGAACTCAGGACCTGTAGAAGTGCAGCCAGTGCTCTTAACTGCTGTGGCATCTTTCCAACCTCCTACTAATGTGAAATTTCAAGTAAATACATGTTAATTCTTGTCCTGTATGAAAGATTTCTGGGGTGAAGAGCCATCCCATTGTACCTAGAAGTTATACCTAACTTAAGAAAGCATGATTGCCTCAAAAGGCTTTAATCTTGAATTCCCCATAACAGCAACTCTGGTGAGTCAGTAAAACTGTCAACTCAGTTCTGCAGTCAGTGTACTGAAACATTACTCTACGGGACGAAGCCCACATGAACATGCACAGAAGTGGCACTCATCAGTCTGCAAAAGACTGGGCTTGGAAAGCTGGCCTACACCATCCAGGTCTCCAGGATCCTGAGAGGAAGGGCACAAAGGCTGAGACAGCCTTGTAGAGGAGCACTCTACCGGAGGTTCTTTGGAGGGCTACTCACTGGATAGCCCCCAGGTGATGATACTGGGTTTCCCTTTAGCTCACCTGGATGACAGTGTGGAGCCTGGTGAGGGCTGGTTGCTCTCTGAAGCCCTGTTCCCAGGGGAACTGTGGTCACTGTCACCATGGTTGCTCCAGTGATTGGCTTCTTCTTCAAACTCCTGTCCAGACATGATTCTTTCAATCTCTTCTTCTGATATCTTGACAAGAAATGGACATGTTAGACCTGGTACTATAGATAACCACCTGTTCTCTCTGTAGGCCTCAGGGTTTATACTTCAGGTCTCTCATACTCTTTGGACTTCTTTGGATATGTTCAGTATATTTGGACATAATCTTTGTGGACACTTGCCTTCTAGAACCGTGACTTTCCCCTTGCCCATTTATCCTACCTTCAAGGCACAAAGTCTATTCCTCAAATCTTGTCTTTGAGTCTTCACTTTCCTAACTAAAACTCATTCTTCAGTGGCAATCTCCTACTTCCCCTACCCAATACTGAATGTTATCTACTTTATAAAATTATGTTATTATTTACTATTCATAATTATGTGAATTCTGAGAAAGGAGGGAATCCTGGCTAATAGTATAAATTCTGGAAGCAGACCACCTTTTTTCAAATCCAGAGTATACCACCTGTAGCACAACCTTGGCAAAGTTACTGAATTATCTTTTTTTTTTCTAATTTTTTCGGTTTTATGAGACAGGGTTTCTCTGTATTGTTTTGGAGGCTGTCAGACCAGTCGGGCCTCGAACTCACAGAGATCCACCTGCCTCTGCCTCCCAAGTGCTGGGATTAAAGGCTTGTGCTACCACCACCCGGCATTACTGAATTATCTTAAGTAAAGTACCTCCATCTGTTTTGTAGATAGAACAAAATTCCCATATCACTGGATTCTTGTGAGGATTAACCAAATCAGATACTCTTCCTGAGAATCTAGCAAGACTAACAGTTACAGAAGACTGAGCATGGGTTGCTTTGTTTGAGACAGTGCCCAGGCTAGTCTGAAATTCTTAGATTCAAGCAGTCCTTCTACTTCAGACTTCCTAGTATCAGAAACTGTAGGTCTGTATCACCAAATTGGGCTGTCATTGTTACAGAACACTTATAGTGACATATCACTAAAATAGCCTCTATAATTCTGATTCCTTCTCAGCCCGTTTGTCATCTGTATATAAGAGGGCTACTGATTTTTCTTTCTTTTTTTTTTTTAAGCTAATCTTGTATCCTGCTACATTACTGCAGGTGTTTATCAGTTGTAGGGATTTTCTGGAAGAATTTTGGGGGTCACTTATGTATACTATTATATCATCAGCAAATAGTGAAGAGTTTGACTTCTTCTTTTCCAATTTGTGTCCCTTTGATCTCCTTTTGTTGTCTTATTGCTATAGCTAGAACCTCAAGTACTATGTTGAATAGATATGGAGAGGATGGACAGCCTTGTCTTGTTACTGATTTCAGTGGGGTTGCTTTGAGTTTCTCTCCATTCAGTTTGATGTTGGCTGTTGGATGACTGTATATTACTTTTATTATGTTTAGGTATGTTCCTTGTATCTCTATTCTCTCCAAGACCTTTATCATGAATGGGTGTTCAATTTTGTCGAAGGCCTTTTTCAACACCTAGTGAGATGATCGTGTGGTTTTTTTCTTTCAGTTTGTTTATATGGTGGATTACATTGATGGATTTTTGTTATGTTGAACCATACCTGCGTCTCTGGGATGAATCCTACTTGGTCATCGTGGATGATTTTTTTGATGTGTTCTTGAATTTAGTTTACCAGTATTTTATTGAGTATCTTTGCAAACTATGTTCATGAGGGAAATTGGTTTGTAATTCTCTTTCTTAGTTATGTTTTTGTGTGGTTTGGGTATCAAAGCAATTGTAGCCTCATAAAAAACAGTTTGGCATTAGATCTTCTATTAACATCTGATAGAATTCTGAACTGAATCCATCTGGGTCTGGGCTTGCTTGGGTTAGGGGACTATTGATAACTGTTTCTATTTCCTTAGGGGCTATAGCATTTAAATTGTTTATGTCTTCTTGATTTAATTTTGGTATGTGGTACTTATCTAGAAAATTTCCTTAAAATTTTCCAATTTTGTGGAGTACAGGTTTTTGAAATATGACCTGATGATTCTCTGGATTTCCTCAGTGTCTGTTATGATGCCTCCCTTTTCATTTCTGATTTTGTTAATTTGGGTATTCTGTCTCTGCCTTTTGGTTAGTTTGGATAAAGGTTCGTCTATTTTGTTGAATTTCTCAAAGAACCAACACTTTGTCTCATTGATTCTTTGCATTGTTTTATTTCTATTGTATTGATTTCAGCCCTCAATTTGACTATTTCTTGTCATCTGTTCCTTCTGGGTGAATCGGCTTCTTTTTGTTCTATCACTTTTAGTTGTTCTGTTAATTCACTAGTGTGCAATTTTTCCAGATTCTTTATGTAGGCATTTAGTGCTATGAACTTTCCTCTCAGCACTGCTTTCATTGTGTCCCATAACTCTGGGTATGTTAATGAGGTCATTTTCATTAAATTTTTGCAAGTCTTTATTTCTTTCTTGAACCAGATGTGATTCAGTTGATCATTGTTCAATTTCCATGTGTTTGTGGGCTTTCTGAAATTAATGTTGCTGTTGAATTCTAATTTTAAGCTGTGGTGATCTGATAGGATACAGGGGTTTATTAAAAATTTTTTTGTAACTGTTGAGGTATGTGATTGATTTTTGAGACGGTTCCATCCATAAGGTTCTGAAAAGAAAGTATATTCTTTTGTGTTTGGGTGGGATGCTCTATAGATGTCCTATTAAGTTCATTTGAGTCATAACCTCTGGTAGTTCCCCTATTTCTCTGTTAAGCTTCTGTTGAAGACTCCCACTATTAGTGTGTGGGGCTTGATTTGTGAGTTAAACTATAGCAATGTTTCTTTTACAAATACAGGAGCCATTGTGTTTGGGGCATAGATGTTCAGAATTGAGATTTCCTCTTGATGGATTTTTCCTGTGATGAATATGAAATTCCCTTCTTCATCTTTTTTGATTGATTTTAGTTTAAAGTCTATTTTCTTAGATATTGGGATAGCTACACCAGCTTGTTTCTTAGGTCCATTTGATTGGAAAATTTTTTCTCAACCCTTTACTATAAGGTGAGTTTGAGGTGTGTTTCTTGTATGCAGCAGGAGGATGAATTCTGTTTTCATATCCAATCTGTTAGCTCGTGTCTTTTTATAGGTGAATTGAGAACATTTATATTAATGAATATTAACAACTAGTGATTGCTAGTTCCCGTTATTTTTGTTTTTGTTGATGACATTGTGTGATCAATTCCCTTCTTTGGGGTTTGCTGCTGTAAGCTCATGTATTTCCTGTGTTCTTGTGAACATAGGTGATTTCCTTGGGTTGGTGTTTTCCTTCTAGTACTTTCTGTAGGGCTAGGTTTGTGGATAGGTATTGTTTAAATTTGGTTTTATCATGGACTATTTTGTTTTCTCCATCTATGGTTATTGAAAGCTTTGCTGAGTAAAGTAGTCTGGACTGGCTTCTGTTGTCCCTTAGTGTCTGCAAAACATCTGACCAGAAACTTCTGACTTTCATTGTTGCCGTTGGGAAGTCACGTGTAATTCTGATAGGTCTGCCTTTATATGTTACCTGACCATTCTCCTTTGCAGCTCTTACTATTCTTTCTTTTTTCTATATGTTTACTGTTTTGATTATTATGTGTCGAGGAGACTTTTTTGCGGGGGTGGGGGATCCAGTCTATTTGGTGTTCTGTAAGCCTCTTATACTTTCATAGGCATGTCCTTCTTTAGCTTGGGAAAGTTTTCTTTGATTTTGTTGAATATATTTTCTGTGCCTTTGAGTTGGACTTCTCCTTCTTCTATTCCTACTATTCTTAGGTTCAGTCTTTCATGGTGTCCCAGATTTCCTGCATGTTCTGTGTTAAGGAATTGTTGGATTTAAATTTTTCTTTGACCAATGTTTCCTCCAATTTATCTTCAATGCCTGAAATTCTCTCTTCCATCTCTGTTGTTTATTCTTGCGTTTGTGGTTCCTGATAGTTTATCCAGTTTTCCAATTTCCAGAATTCCCTTGGTTTGTGTGTTCTTTATTTATTGCCTGTATTTCAGATTTCATGTCTTAAATCATTTCCTTCACTTGTTTGATTGCTTTTTCTTGGTTTTCTTTAAGTGATATCTTCCAATTTTTTGTCTTTTCCTCCATTTCTTTAAGAGAAATTTTCATTTCCTCTTTAAGGGCCTCAATCATCCTCATAAAGTTATGTTTAGGTCATTTTCTTCTATTTCATCTGTGTTGGGATGCTCAGGTTTTGTTGTTGTAGCACCACTAGTTTCTAGTCATGCCGCATTGCTCTTCATATTGTTGAGTGAGTTCTTACCTTGTTGTCTACCCATCTCTTCCTCTAATCAGTATATAGTATTCTCTGTGTAATAATTTTGACTGTTTTTACTGAAATTCGTTCTGTACACCAGAGTGACCTCGAACTCAGAGATGCCTCTGCCTTCTGAGTGTTGGGATTAAAGGCTTGGGCCACCACCATCTAGCATAATAACTGAATGTTAGTGAGAATATGGCAAGAAGGATTTAGCTAGCAGATAAACAAAGGAGTTAATCTGAAACTGTTTGATATGTACATTGAAATGGAATAATTGTTTTTGAAAATTAAGTCATATACACCTAAAAAACAATTACTCCATCATGGAACGAAAACTTAGGCTGGATAGAAAGAGCCAACCCATGAAGGCAGCTTACTCCAGCTGGGAGTTGTGACTGCTTTCCCTTGTTGGCCCACCAGACAGGGGGCAATCACTGATAGACACAGAACAGATGCTTAATAAATGGAAATTCCGCCTCTCCTTGTTTTTATTAAGATTGGCTAAACACATCTGAGTGGTGGTGGTGCATGCCTTTAATCCTGGCACTTAGGAGGCAAAGGCAGGCAGATCTCAGTGAGTTCTAGGACAGCCAGGGCTATTATACAGAGAAATCGTGTCTTGGGAAAAAAATAGCTAAATACAATTAATAACTTACAGATCACAACTCGTACACACCACCCATAATTAGTGGAAAACCAAAATAATATGCTTAGTATAAAAACTCAAACATAAACTGATTAGTGATGGCGCACACCTTTAATCCCAGCACTTAGGAAGAGAGGCAGGTGGATCTCTGAGTTAGAAGCCAGCCTGGTCTACAGAGCAAGTATCAGGACAGTCAGGGCTATACAGGAAAACCCTATCTCAAACAAACAAAATCCCAAAACAGAAAAAAACAAATAAGCAAAAACAACAAGAAAAGCCCTCAAACATATTAACAGGTTAAATGGCTTCCCTAAGCATTGGTGTCTTCAGTTCTTTTTTTGTTTGTTTGTTTGTTTGTTTTTTTGTTTTGTTTTTCGAGACAGCTGTGGCTTTGGAGGTTGTCCTGGAACTCGCTTGGTAGTCCAGGCTGGCCTGGAACTCACAGAGATCCACCTGCCTCTGCCTCCTGAGTGCTGGGATTAAAGGCGTGCGCCACCAACGCCCAGCGGTGTCTTCAGTTCTAAAAGGAACAGCTTACAGCTATGGGACCTGAGCATCCCCTGGCAGAGCAGAAGTCTTACAGGGCACTAAGAATGCATTAGGTACTATCAGAGTATTTGTTCTCAACCTTTCTAATGCTACAACCTTTTAATACACTTCCTCATGTTGTGGTGACCCCCACCAAAAATTATTTGTTGTTAATTCATAGCTGTAATTTTGCTACTGTTAAGAATTGCAATATAAATATTTGTGTTTTTCCATGTTTTTAGGCATCCCCTGTGAAAGGGTCATTTAAACCACTGTTCTAGAGGATTTTTTTAAATTGAGAAAATATTTAAGAATTTCCCTCAACAGATGATCTATTACACCTACATATGAAAAGAATGAACAAGGGTCAGATGTGAAAAACCCAAAGCTAGTGTCAGATGTTGAAAACTGAAAGACTTTCCTCTAAATTCAAGAACAGGACAAAGGTGCTCACCTCAGTATTCTTATTAAAGAAGAGTTTTGAAAAATTCCAGCCCAAGCAATTAAATAAGAAAAATAAATTGAGGCATCTAATCAGGAAGATGTTAATGATCTGTATTCACAGAGGACATGAAGTAGGAAACTCTCAGGATCCCACAAAAATATGTTAGACCCAACATTGCTATTCAGGCTTCTGTACTAGTCTGCCTTTGGGGTCCTGACAGGGTATGTCCTCAGTGGCATCCACTAAGAGCACTTTCTGTGCACATTGACTACATACCCTTTTAAAGGGCAGGCCTTGCCCAGCTACCCCCCTCACCTCCCTCCTCTGCCTATCTCTGTCTCCCCCACTCACCACACTCCTTCTCTACCTCTCTTTTCTGCTGCTCCTGTCTGAAGAAGCTTGTTTCCTCCTCCCATCTCTCCCCCCTTTTCCCATTCTCTTTCCCCTAATAAATATCCCTCTATGTGAGCACGGCATCTTTCTCTCATATGCACTTCACTTTTTAAATTAAACACCTAACACATGAATTCGATAGTTGCAAAATACACAATCAACATAAACGAATTCTCTTGCTATAGGCTATCAAGAAACAATCTGAAAAGAGATTTTTATTTGTTTGTTTGTTTGTTTTTGGTTTTTCGAGACAGGGTTTCTCTGTAGCTTTGGAGGCTGTCCTGGAACTCACTTTGTAGACCAGGCTGGCCTCGAACTCACAGAGATCCGCCTGCCTCTGCCTCCCGAGTGCTGGGATTAAAGGCCAACGCCCGGCTTGTTTGTTTTTGAGACAGGGTTTCTCTATAACCCAGGCTGCTCTGGGACTCAGAAAACTGGCCTGCCTCTGCCTCCTGAGCACTGGGCTTAAAATCGAAAAACCACCACCTCCTGACTGACAAGAAAAACTTAAGAAAAAAATTCCACTTAGAATAAAAATGTAATAAAGTTAAGAGGATGAAAAACTTACACAGTGAAAAGCATAAAACATTGCTGAAAGAAATTAAACACTCAGTCACAAGTGGGGGCATACACCTCACCTTCAAACCCATTACTCAGGAGGCAGAGGCAGGTGGATCTCTGTGAGTTAAGAGGCCAGCTTGGTCTACAGAGGACAGCCAGACCTATACAGAGAAAGCCTGCCTTGAAAAACAAAACCAAAAACTAACAACAAAAATTATACAGAAACGTGTTTGTGTACCAGAAGACTTAACACTGGTTTAAAAACCATGGTATAATCGCATGAAACCAAAAGGACTCCAAACAGACAGGACAATCTTAAGAAAGAATAGTGAGGCTGCAGCTATACACTTCCTGGTTTTAAAGCATAGCACAGAGCTGTAGCAGTCAAAACACTATGGTATACAGCTCAATAGAATAAAAACAGAATCCTACAACTACACTCAGATTTCTATGACCCTTAACAAAGGTCCAAGACTACACAGTGGGGAAAGATTAATAATCTCTTCAAGGAACAGTGCTAGACAAACGGCAGTCTCATGTATACAGGAAAAAGAAACCCTTCTTGTTTTATACTACACACAAGGATCAATTCAAAATTTATTAAATGTAAGGCCAGAAAATGTAAAATTCCTGCGAGAAAACAGAAGAAAAATCTTGAAAAAAAGATCTTCTGTATATGAATACTCTATCTTGCACGTACACCTTTATGCCAGAAGATGGCATCAGACCCCACTACAGATGGCTGTGAGCTACCATGTGGTTGCTGAGCCATATCTCCAGCCCAGGAAAAGCCTTTTAAGGTTGGTCTTGACAACGATTTCATGGATAAGATACCAAAAGCCCAGGCAATAAGAGCAAAACTAAAAAGCAGGCTCTCCAAGCTACTATACAGTCAACAAACCACCAACTCCTCAAAGCAGCTGGTGAAATTAGAGAGGAGGAGTGAGCATCTGGAAGAACAGTGAATTCAACAAGTACAGTTTGCAGTCATGCAAAACAAAACAAAACTAGGCACATAGTTAAAGATACTTAAAAACTGAAAGAGCTCAGTGAGCAAAGTGTTCACTGTGCAAGTGAGAGGATATGAACTCAGATTAACAATACCCACATAAAAGTCAGGTGTACACCTGTAATCTTAGTGCTGGGGGTGGGAAGAGACAGATGCGTGCGTGGGGCTCTGGCCAGCCAGTCTAGCAGCAATGGCAAGCTTGAGGTTTAGTGAAAGACCTTGTCTCAAAAAATAAGGCACAAAACCAAACAAAGACATCCCGTATCAACTTCTGCCTTCCACAAGCGCCTACATGGATGACAGCACCTGCTATACACACACACACACACACACACACACACACACACACACACACACACACACACACACACACACCACGCTGTGTTTAGTCCGAACTAAAATAAATTATTTTTCAAGAGATAAATAACAGGAATAAAAATGCTTGATTATACAGAAAACTTAGAGGAGTTTTACACACAAATACACATACCCTGATTTAGCACATGTTACGCACCCACAAAGCAGGAAACCTCTCCTATGTCAGTACATCTCTGAGTTCTTGTCTTTCATTTGTTTATACTTAACTGGAGAAATCCTTTTAATTTGCTGATGAACACTCTCTTGGCTCTTTCTGCCTTCTGATCTGTATTGTCATTGTCCTACTTCAAACTATTATCTGACTCTCTTCCAAGGCTTCTGCATACTCATTTTAAACCATTTCAATTAGAATTTCTTTTCTAAAATGTATTATCTGTATTCGACAGTTTACAATTTACAATTGTTTAGTGATTGCTTCTTGGTATACAGCAAAAATTTGTAAAACTGATCCTGGTTCCGCATGTACTTGGTGATTAATTTGATGGGTGGGTCATAAAATAGATTCAGTTCTCTAGATGCAGGAGGCCCTTCTGCTTGCTAGTAAGAACAGGAGATGTAGGTTGGCCCCATAAGCACGGTCAAAGACAGCTGAGGCTACTCTTTAAAGAACTGATCGAAATTCAAGGACTCTCTGCCTTATTTCTTCATGCTATTACATGTGCCTAGCACTCCAGTTTCATTGAACTACCTCCTTGTGATATTTTAAGGATCTGTCTTTGGGACATTGCAGTTTATTCTGTCTAGCTTTGATAGATGACGCTTAGCTTCTCAACACAGCTACTTCTTGATTAGTTCAAAAGCCCCTTAAAGAACCTTTTCCCAAGTGTCTCCAACCTCTAAAACAGAAGCATCCCTGGACATTTTCTGATAGCTCTCAGTGTACTACAATGTCTACTTATTATCTGTCTCTCTCATTAAACTCAGGCCACAGTATAGACTAGCACAGGAGGAACTTGGTAAATACTTATGGGACGAGTAGAGTGGAAATACTAGTATTCCTACTCTAATAATAAGAACATGAACAATAGCCAGGAGGCGATGGCACATGCTTTAATCCCAGCTCTGCAGAAACAGAAGCACGCAGATCTCTGTGAATTAAAGGATAGTCTGGTATACAAATCAAGTTCTGGGACAGTCAAGAGGTGTTACACAGAGAAACCCTGTCTTGAAAAATGAAAGAAAGAAAGAAAGAAAGAAAGAAAGAAAGAAGGGAGGGAGGGAGGGAGGGAGGGAGGAAGGGAAGGAGGAAGAAAAGAGGAATATGAACTATTGATTTTTGCAAGGCTAAGACACCTATAACTTTAAGTGGTTGGTCAAACGGGAAAAAATAATTCTCTGGATGGTTTAGAACCAGAACTGAATTCAATACCTGTGAAATTCTCACGAAGGATTGAGGGATCATAAGAGATTTAAACTTTAAACATTCAGACACAGGAGTGAAAGCCAAAATAGCAGAAAAGGAGCTCAAGGTGAACAGCTACAGGAGCATTTGGAGCATCAGGCTTCCAGAACACACTAAGAGAGTGGGGATGAGAACTCACCTGCACTGGCCCAATGCTCTTATTCCGGCCTCCAGGCATGCCATCTTCTCTGATAGCTATAACGAAACATAAGAGGCAGAAATACACTCACAGTTATAAACGAAAAGGAAACTTATCTGTCCCAGCACCAGGAAGGCAGATGCAGGCTGATTATGTGCATTTGAGGCTAGTCTAGTTTACTGCATAGTGAGTTCCAGGCAGAGTCACATAGTGAGACCCTGTCTCAAAACACAGACACACACACACACACACACACACACACACACACACAGAGAGAGAGAGAGAGAGAGAGAGAGAGAGAGAGAGAGAGAGAGAGAGAGAGAGAGAGAGAGAGAGAGAGAGAGAGGAGAGAAAATATGGGTAAAAGTGGTGAAACCAAGACTAAACACAGGCCTTTCTGAACTCATAGTGCACTTTATCACTGTAAGGTGCTCATACGCAGCAGATACATTTGGGTTCTCAAGGCACTGGATATATAATGCATATACTGTACACATTCAAGATGTTCAACAAAAATGGGGCATGGTCAACAAGTCCCAGTGACAAATATCCTACCAGAAAGGTGTACCTCAACTGAGAGACATTTTAGTGGGAGAGTGAACACTTGCATTTTAAAATAAAATATATTTTATTTTTCTGCCTAAGTTTTATTAGGCATCAGAACAGCACTCTATTATCCAGGTGGATGCCCAACTCTGGAGAATCGCTTTTGGCATTTATTTTTTATTAACTGGAATGTTCACCTGATTCATTCCTCCTCAAAAAAGCAGTAAGTTGAAGCAACTTACTTAGTATCTTCTTATTTAATATTTATGACTACTTCACTTACATGTGTGTACACATGTGTGACTGGTACCCAAGGTCAGAGAGGGTGTTAGATCCCAGGAACCAGAGTTAAGGATGGTTGATTCATCCTGTGGGTCCTGGGAGCCATCCAGGTCCTCTGCAGAAACAGCAAATGCTCTTAACCACCAAGTTATTTTTCCAGCCCCCAAAGACACTTAGGTGGGGGTTTGCTGTTATTGTTTACTTTATGCATATGGGTGTTTTACCTTCATGTACGTCTGTCTGTGTGTACCTGGTGCCCTGAGGCCTGGATACCCTGGGACCAGAGTTTAGAAAGTTGTAAGCTGCCAAACCAGAACTCAATACTGCACTTAGAAATCATGTTTCTACTGTTTTCTCCATTTGTAACAACTCTTCAGTCTGTCTTCATGACCATGACAGTTTCCAGTACTCTTTTGTACAATGTTTGTTATTTTGAGAAATGATATTCCAGGCATAGATGGTGGTGCATGCCTTTAATCCCAACACTCTAGAGGCAGAGGCAGGTTGATTGATCTCTAGTGAATTCTAGGCCAGCCTAGTCTATACACCTAGTTCTAGGATAGCCAGGGCTATACAAAGAAACCTTGTCTGGAAAAATAAAAAACAGAAAAAAATTTTTTTAAAGATTTATTTATTATGTATACAGTGTTCTGTCTGCATGTATGCCTGCAGGACAGAAGAGGGCACCAGATCTCACTACAGATGGTTGTGAGCCATCATGTGGTTTCTGGGAATTGAACTCAGAACCTCTGGAAAAGCAGCCTGTGCTCTGAGCCAAGTCTCCAGCCCCCAGGAGACATGAGTTTAGGTGGATGTTCAGAATTCCACATGCCAAATGAATAACCAGAATAATGAATCTGCGTATGTGGTCAAGAAGGTACCCTAACAGGCAAGCTGGAGGTATTGCACTCTCAGGTCCTGGGCAATGAAAGAAGATGAGAAACGTGGAGTAAAAAGCCAAATCAAATCAGGGCAGACAGACAGCGGCAGAAGAGCAAGTAAGCACATGTGGCATGCATAACATCCGCCCTGAGACCCTGCTCTGCCAGCAAAGCTACAAAGATAGGCAGGGGACAAACTTGGCAATGCTTAAATGCTCTATTATGGCATTTGTTTAACATGCAGCAAATACACAATATTCTAATATGATGGGGGAAGTCCTTTTGTGTATATGTTTGTCTCATTGGTTTATTAAATAAAGCACTGTTGGCCAATAGGGAAGCAAAATAGGTGGGACTAGGAGTCGAGGAGGATTCTGGGAAACCAAAGCACAGTCAGCCATGATGCAGGACACCAGAGAAGTAAGAGGTCCAGACCCTTTTCTCCGGTAACAGAAGACCACTTGGAAATACTCAGGTTAGCAGTTATGGGTTAATAATTAAGTCAGAGCTAGCCAATAAGAAACCAAGCAAATGGCCAGCAGCTTCATAATTAATATAGCATCTTATGTGTTATTTGGGGGTTAAGGCAGCAACAGGACCCAGGCGGCTGGCGGGAAGAGTACACATTACACTAATATGCAAATAGCTATGTCAAGCAGGAGATTTGTGGAACAGTATATTGCCTCTATGATTAGGTACAGCTCTGCTTAATAACACCTTGTAACTTCAAAATTATTAACTGGCCCCATAATCATCCCTATGCTGCATGTGTAAACTGGGAATAAGAGTCAATAGGATTAGTGTGTATCCAACAGAAGATGCACACTAAGTGCTGTGAATAAACTGTAAGGCATCTAAATGTCCTTCAATAATCCTCTTACCTTTTAAACAAAAATTACTATATTTGTGTGTGGAGGGGTGTGTAAGCCACAGCACACCTGTGGAGGTCAGAGGCGAACTGACAGAAGCTGATTTGCTTCTACCAGTATATGGGTTGCAGTGACTGAATGCAGATCACCAGGCTTGATACCACGCACCTTATGCTGTTGGGCCATCTTATCAGGCCTCTCTTACTTTTCTTCACATCAGTAAAGCTCTCAAAAGATCTCTCTTTTTTACCTATTATTTTTTTATTTCCAGTTTGATTTCTCATCATCATTTCTAACTCCTTAAAATAAATCATTAAAGGTTAGAGAGATGGCTCAGTGGTTATAAGCACTGGCTGGTTTACAGAGGATCTGGGTTCAATTCTAGGTTCTGTTCACGATGGTTCACAAATGTCTGCAACTCAAGCACCATGGAATCTCATGTCTTTTCTGAATTGCACTGGTCCCTATGTGCATAAGGGCAGTGCCTGCTCTCTCTAGGCCCCTTCTGGTCATTTCTTAAAACTTTATAGTTGGCTTCCTCTACCTAAGCCTTCAAGGCTTCTTATAGTCAGTTTATTCATGTCACCTTAGGTCAATAGCTTCCAGAGAAGTATAAATGTCAAATTCTTTACCTACCTAGACAAACTTCTAAATATACCTAGTGTCTTGTGTTTACCATGTTCCTAGTACACAACGTGACATCAAGTCCTACTTCATACCTTTCCAACTAAATTCCTGTCATTATTACTTGAAATAGTTTGTGGACTATATAGTGCATACAGAAAGAATAACTAAAAATTATAATAGGTGTAGATGAGGGGATGGATGAAGTGCAGCATAGAGTGTAGCCCTAAGCACCAACTCACCCTTCCTGTTCATGCCCATCTGGAGACACTTGAGCAGGCGACAGTACTGGCATCTGTTCCTCTGTTTCCGGGACATGACACAGTTCTTGTCACGACTGCACCGATACACACGTTTGTTGCAAATACTCCTCTTGAAAAAACCTTTGCAGCCCTCACAGGAGATGATCCCATAATGCAAGCCTGTAGCACGATCTCCACAGATAAGACAGGTTCTTTGTTCAGCTCGATCATCTGGAACAGAAACTGAACATGTACAAGTTAGAGTGCTGTGGAAACAACGGAGTTAAAAGCTCATAGTTCCTAAAGCCTCCAGCCCTTCTCTGAGTAAATAAAAAATACCAACTCCAGACTAACTGGCAAGTCATTGAAGTGCCTTCTCCAACCTCATCTAACCGTTAGTCTTTTGGAAAGAGCTGTTTTTCTCAATGCACACAGTGTTCTTTTTGTTTCTTTGTTTGTTTGGTTGGTTTTTAATTGGGATAAGGTTTCTCTGTATATCCCTGGCTGTCCTGGAACTCACTCTGTAGACCAGGCTGGCCTCAAACTCAAAGAGATCTGCCTGCCTCTTCCTCCCAATTGCTGAGATTAAAGGAGTGTACCACCAATGACTGGCTTGTGTTCTTAATCTATTCAGTGTTCTTCCTCTGTATTATTCCTAAAACACAGTATGAAGAAATTGACTTTAAAGTCAAGACCAAAGCTCATAGCAGATGTAGCTGAGAAAGAGTTGAGGTCTTAATGTGAACAGGCATCTGAAACTCCAAATGAGGTTATTATCTACAAAACCATCACTGGGTAAAAACTGTTTGGGAAAAGAAAATACTTTAATTTATCAGAGAAACTTATGTTTGTAGGGCTCAGACTTTAAATAATAACTCCTGTAAGCAGGACCTGTAATACTTTGGGTGAATGTGCTGGTCCCAAGTATAGGGTAGAAAACATACAAGATGGATGAGCTTTGTTATACTATTCAAACTAATCATGAGGCCATTTCAAAAGGAAACATGAGACAAGTCTAAGATGAAGCAAGGTATGTATCAAAAAGAACGCTGAGGGCACTGGATAAAGATTTCAAATACATGGCCAGCAAGATGCCTCAGTCGTCTGATTGCCTGAGTTCAATCTCCAGAACCCATGGTGGACGGATGAATCAACTACCAAATACTGTCTCCTCACCACTACAAGCACATGACCCTGCCACACACTTTACAAATAAACTTTTAAAATTTCAAATACAAGTTGGTCAGTGGTGGCACACACCTTTAATCCTAACACTTGAGAGGCAGAGGCAGGCAGATCTCTGTGAGTTTGAGGCCAGCCAGGTCTACAGAGTGAGTTCCAGGACAGCCAGGGATACACAGAGAAATCATGTGTCAAAAAAGTTTAATTAAGAACATTAAAAATGAAAATCCTTGGGGCTGGAGATGGCTCAGTGGTTAAGAGCACTGGCTGCTCTTCCAGAGGACCTCGGTTCAATTCCCAACACCCACGTGGCAGATAACTGGCTGTAGCTCTGTTTTCGGGTGATCTGAAACCCTCACACATACATGCAGGCAAATGAGTGCACATGAAATAAAAATTTAAAAAAGAAAAATGAAAGCCTCATTAGTTATCACTAATTTGCTATTTAAAAAATTAAATGACATAAAGGAAATAGGGAGTGGGATCAAATATTTAAATAAAGATTACTAGAATTGTTACCTCTTACTCCATATCCCAACAGAAAGAAGGGAACAATGATGGAAACTACTGAACTTCAAGCTTAGTAGAGAATTATTAGGATTTGGTGAACAGCTAGATATACATGTCATGGTGGGGAAACTATTTGAGGGCCCACAGCATAGGCAGAGACAAGGGAAGGGACAAAGTTCTAGAACAGAGGCAGGACAAATGAGATCAAGACTTTAGAGCTCTGAGTTCAAAACTAGGCTCTGGCACTTGCTAGCTCTGTCTCTGTGAAAGGAACTGGCAAATTCTGAAGAGTAAGTGCTACCAGCAAGACAAGCAAGGTAGAGAAGAGTGTGTAGCTAGAAGGAACCACTGCCACGAAGAGTCACACCTTCAATGAGGTACTTACAGCCCTCTTCAACTTGGGTTTACTGAGAAGAGTCACGCTCCTTTCTAAAGTACCCACATAATTCACCAAGTCCATAAAACCAGCACGAAGAGCAATAGGGAACTAACCAGAGATACAATAAAGTTATGTTACCCTAATATGGGAGAGTCATGATCTCACCATAATCTTACTCTGCAAATTGTTTTTTTTTTTTTTTTGATACAGGATGCCATGTAGCTGACACTGGTTTTGAACTCTTGATCCTTCTGTCTCCACACTTAGTGCTGCAATTATAAGCATGTGCGGCCATGTTTGCAAAATACTGTTAACCAGCAGTAAGTAAAACATTAGCCCCAAAGCTATATGCAGCATGCAAGAGAGGGAAAAGAGCTTACAGCTTATAGTAGCACCCATGCTAAATGGCTGAGTGGTGATGAAAAGAAAGCTTGGGAAATTTAAGTAAATAACAAAACCACACATTTCTGGGGGAAAGAAAAAATCTTACATGTGACCTTTATACATGCAGCCTTTAGTATAGTCTTAGGAGCAATCTTAAGAACTTTTCTGTAGTTGGAAATTACTGTGAACAACAAATACTGTAATGTTGAATGTTGCTTCTTCAAACTCCTACTAAAGATAATTAAGAACAGATCCAGAGCTCAGTCAAAGTTTCCATAGGTACACATTAATACTCAGATACAGAACTGTCAAATCAAAAGAAACACTGAAAATGATGAGGCAGCTGGAGAAGCTAGCTAGAAGACTGTACTTATATGTCCACCATTACTGAAAAATGCAGATAAAAGAGCTTCACAAAGATGACAACGTTGCTAAATGAAAAAGTGTGTAAGAAAAAAAAGAAGGCTCTAAGATCAAAAAGAGAAAACTTTTCAGGGATTAGGACAAGAATCGCTTGAGTTAAAAACTGGTTACTGGGAGGCCGGGCGTTGGTGGCGCACGCCTTTAATTCTAGCTCTCAGGAGGCAGAGGCAGGAGGATCTCTGTGAGTTCAAGGCCAGCCTGGTCTACAGAGCGAGTTCCAGGACAGTCTCCAAAACAATACAGAGAAAACCTGTATAAAACAAACAAACAAACAAAAAACTGGTGACTGAGTCAGGAATGAAGGTACATGTCTGTAATCCCTGCACCCCGAAGTTAGAGGCTGGAAGTTTTCAAATTCCAAACTAGTCTGGGCAACATAGAAAGATCTTATCTCAAAAGGCCAAACAAAAAATGGGCCAGGAATATATAGCTCAGCAGTAGAGGCTGTGGGCTTTATTTGCAACACCAACATAAAACAAACAGCAAACTTCTGGTAAAGAAAGAAAACTACTTATGGATTATAGCCCATGTAAAGATATAGAGGGGCTATGAGATGGCTCAGTCAATAAAGTGCCTGCCTTATGGCACGACACCCTGAGCTTAGATTCCTAACACCAAAGTCTGTGAACCCCCGGACTGCAAGCAGAAGGAAGGCTGGTGGATCTGGGGAGCTCACTGGCCCCCTCTGCCAGCCCAAGCAATGAAACCTGGGCTCTCAAACAAGATGGACTGCGATGAAGAAAGATGCTGCCACCACTCACCACCCCTGCACCATGTACCCACACACACAAGGACACACACTTGCATACACACATGTGCACAGCCCCACATGAACATATACCACAGAGTACTACATCAACAGTTTGATATCTAGCATATTCCAGCAGATTGTTTTTACTGTATGTTTAAACTAGGAAAGATTTGGTCATACTTAAAGAAGACAAACATAGAAACAAAAGCTTTCAAGAGGAGTTAAGATTGATCAACAACCCAGTATATGGAATAAAATGTAATTCAGGCAGGCATACTTAAAAATCAGAAATGTGCCTTAAAAAAATCAGTTAATTGTAAAGGTTTTTTTTTTAATGTACGCTATTTTTATGTTCTTCAAAAAGCAACTTGCACTGATTAGGAAACTAAAGTGACTCACTCAAGGTCATATAGCAAGTCATGATGTACGTGTGCTTCAACCTCATGGCTTTTCAAAGGCAGACTTCCTGTGATACCAGCTGCCTCTTGTAAGGGAAGGGAAGAGAAGATGGGGGATGTGATAAGGATGTCAAGACAGCTGCATGGTGCTGCTTATTTATAAAGAAACAAACTCCAAAACTAATAAAAAAATGTGAAAAAAGAACTAGATACTGTTCTATCAACCAATAAATAAGCACCCAGATTAGCAATATGCTCTACTATAATTTGGTTCAGTGCAGGCTAAAACCTGTTACAAAAACAACCTCTTATTTTCATTCTTTTACTAAGCCTTGCTGTTACTAGACTACATCCCCTTCCCCAAGAAGGACGTTTTACCCATTCCAAGGTCTCAGGTTACACAAACGACAATTTGGAAACTGATTTTTATCAAAACCTGTTATTCAAGCTGTGATGATGGCCAGATTTAGGAAACAGGCAGTACAGCTGCTTGCTTGACCAAATGTGTACTAACACCAGAGCAATGTGAATGTGCCTGGCTCAAAGGCTGTTAAAACAAAGGGGGGGTCTGCTTTCCTAGATCACTGGTTCCAGCTTCCAGATCAGCTGTACACTTTTAGGGCTGACTCCAGTTTCCTATGCCGCCATCACCTACAATGAAAGCTTCAAAGTGCTGTGACAGAATTGAAACTCTCAAATTTTCATGTAGAAGTAAGTTTCCCTCCATTTGTATGTCACACCTTCTCCACAAACAAGAAAATTGGTTTCTAGAGGCCACATATGGGTGTGTGGTGACCAGAGGAATAAGTGCCAGGGTCTGGGACTCAGCAGCTCACAAGTCCTTATGCATTCTATGAAGTACTAAAGAAGACTGGTGGCTTGTAACATAGGAAATGATATATGTTTAAGGACATGGAATGCTAATCACCATAGAGCTGATCACTATATGTTATATTATCACTACATCCATAAATATGTGTTGACTTTAAAAGTTTTTGAGACAGCCCAAGCTGGCCCCAAATTTGCAAGCTTGAGTACTGGGGATACAGGCATGCACCACAATAAACAGCTCAAAAAATATGTATGGGCTGAATGATCAATGAATAAAAAAAAAAAAAAAGGAAAAAGAAAAACTGACTGACGCTATTAACTACTCAGGCCTAAAGTGAAATGACTCACGAATTACAATTGGCTGAAGCTACACCAATCTCCAAGG